GGGAGGTGGGAAGGAGTGTCTTTTTATGGCTTATGGCTTTTAAAAAATTCCTTGATTGTTGTTTTAGTGGGATTTCAGGCAGGAGCAAAAGTGGATATGTGTTCAACCTACCATCCTTATCCAAAAGTTTGGCAAGACTTCATTAAAGATTTCTTGGAAGGTGAGAAGTTTGTACCAGCTTCCTCCTTGACAAATATTCTATATCCCTGGACTGAGAAATGAGGAATAGGACAGATAAGTACACCATGTTATTTTCTCTGACTATTATACCCTAAAGAAATACGTTGCTGTTTTTTGTTTTTTTTTCTTTTTGCCACCCCATGTAGTTCCCTGAGCAGGGATTGAAGAATGAATCCAGGCCCTGGCAGCGGAAGCGCAGAGTTCTAACCACTGGACCACTGGGGAATTCCCTCTACCATCTAGGTCTTTTTAAAAAATTTATTTATTTATTTATTTATTTTGGCTGTGCTGTGCCTTAGTTGTGGCAGGCAGGATCTTCATTGTGGCATGTGGGATATTTAGTTGCAGCATGCGGGATCATTTAGTTGCAGCATGTGGACTTCTTAGCTGCAGCATGCAGGCTTCTTAGTTCCGGCATGCATGCAGGATCTAGTTCCCTGACCAGGGATAGAACCCGGGCCCCCTGCATTGGGAGTGCAGAATCTTACCCACTGCACCACCAGCGAAGTCCCCATCTAGGTCTTTATTCAGTGGTTTCTTCTACATGGAATGCTCCTTCCTCTCCCTCCTTGCTTTCCTCTCCTTCCTTGCTTTTCTCCCTAGTTCTTCATTGCTAATGCCTTCCCACTCCAAGCAGTCTTCTTTGATCTTTGTCTTCACCATTACCACCTCCAAGTTTGGATAATGTACCCTTCTTTTATGTTTCTACACCTAGAAATTATTATACTACTGTAATTGTTTAGTTAAGTGTCCACAGCCACTTAGCCAGGGACCAAATCTTATTTATCTTTGAATATACATTATTTATCTCACAAGTTGGAACACAAGTCCTTGTCATTTTAAAATTCAAAACTTGCAGGAAAACAAAATATGGCTTAAAAAAAACTGTATAATTCTCTTATGGATACTGAATTAATACCAAAATCCATTTAAGAGTTCATCAATAAAATGAGAAAAATTAAGAGGAAGAGTCAGTGATTCTTTTTGAATAAATTTTGATGAAGTTACTAAGACTTAAAGAGCAAGGATCTGTTGTGTTAGGTTGGATACTTTTATCAGTGGCTATGAAGACTAATTGCTGCCTCTTTAATTAGAATTGCTTGGAAAATACCATGTCATTTGAATTCAAGGAGAACATGTTTACTAAGTTTGGTAAAATCTGTTCTATTTTATTTAGAGAAATATCTAAATAAATAAGTGCATTATCTATAATTAGCTTTAACTCATTTTTCAGGAACATGGAAAGCCTTCTGCAGATATTTTCAAGAGTCCCCAAATAAAAGTTCGAGAACATATATAGTAGATCTTTGAATAACAGGGGTTTGAACTGCATGGGTCCACTTACACGTGGATATTTTTTTCAGTAGTAAATACTGCAATTACTACAAGAACCAAGGTTGGTCACATCTGTGGATGCTGAATCTTAGATTTGAAGGAACTGCGTATACGGAGGGCCCACTCTAAGTTATACACGGCTTTTTGACTGTGTGGAAGGTTAGCACCCCTAACCACTGCTGTTGTTCAAGGGTCAATTATATACATTTGTAAATAAAAGAAAATTTGACATTGGCAACATTTACTATAATGAAGGAAATGTTTATTTGGCTAAGCAGACAACTGGATCTGTGGAAAGGCCTTCTTTTGGAGGGGATAAGACAGCAGCTATATGAGCCTTCCCCAGGGGTCAGTTCCATTATTTGGCCACTTAGAGGAAACATCTTAGCCTAATTCATGGCAAGGCTTTAGGGATACCAAACTTGTATGCAAGCAAAATTTTTGTGAGGGTACATTTTTGTCAGGACAGGGTCCATAGCTTTTATTAGATTTCTAGTAGTGTCTTGACCTAAGAAAATTTAAGAGCCATTGGTTTAGGTACTTAACTCACTGTGCTTGTTTGAGGGCATAAAGTAGAGGGGGCAGAAGAGTGATGATTAAGACTTAATTTTTGGGGACTTCCCTGGCAGTCCAGTGGTTAAGACTCCGAGCTCCCAATGCAGGGGAACATGGGTTCCATCTCTGGTTGGGGAACTAAGATCCTGCATGCTGCATGGAACAACCAAAAAAAACCAAATACACACACACACACACACACACACACACACACAGAGAAAAGACAACTTTTTGGTATATGTATAACTGATTCACTTTGCAGTACACCTGAAACTAGCACAACATTGTAAATCAACTATACTCCAATAAAAATTTTAAAAAAATACTTAACTTTTTGGACACAACTCATAATAAGATGACATTAATGTCATGACATATATATATATAACTGATACAAAATTTTACAAAACAGTATTTATCCTTATGGAGTATGGTGAACTCTTAACATTTTCTATTCTATTGAATATTTAATTTTTAAAATGTTGGTTGTAACCCATTAACTTAATTTCTTAGTATTCTGATTATTGGTAACCCATAGTTTGAAAAACACTTGTTTAGTGCTTGTAAAACCCTTTCCTATACTCTTAGACCTCACAGCAGTCCCATGAGGTACATATGACCTCTTTTTATTTTTACAGATGAGGTGACTCAGAGATGGTAAGTGACTTGTTCAAGTTTGCACTGCCAGTAACGTGTCAGAGTCAGAGTGTGATCTTGGTCCTAGGTTTTGACTCCAGCTCCCCTGACACCTTTTGTTACATCCCATCCAAACTACATACTTTTCCCTTCCTCTTCTCACTCCCTTCTCTACCACAATTGTAGGGAATAGTATTAGCTCAGACTACACAATTGGGTACATCCTAATTTGCCAGTTGGCATACCTGCACTGTCCCCAGTCCTGTTGCTTGTCATTTGGGGTCCTCTCTTCGAAGTTCTGGATTTCCCTATCAGTGTAAAGAAGTTCTTTCCTTCTTTTTTCTTCTCCACCCTAGACCAGTGGTTTTCAAGCCTGGATGTAAAGAGGTTCAATCAGTTGTGGAACTTAATATTCAAATATCTGGGTCTCCATCAGGGATTCTTTTTTTTTTTTTTTTTTGGCTGCATTGGTTTTTCGTTGCTGTGTGTGGGCTTTCTCTAGTTGCGGTGAGCGGGAGCTACTCTTCATTGCGGTGTGCGGGCTTCTCATTGGGGTGGCTTCTCTTGTTGTGGAGCACAGGCTCTAGGTGCGTGGGCTCAGCAGTTGTGACTCGTGGGCTCTAGAGTGCAAGACGCAGTAGTTGTGGTGCACGGGCTTAGTTGCTCTGCAGCATGTGGGAGCTTCCTGGACCAGGGCTCAAACCCGTGTCCCCTGCATTGGCAGGCAGATTCTTAACCACTGCACCACCAGGGAAGCCCTCAAGCAGGGATTCTGATTCAGAAGATCTGGAATGGAGTTTAGACATTTTTTTAAAATAATTTTTTTAAATTGAAGTATAGTTGATGTACAGTATTGTATGTTACAGGTGTACAGTATAGTGATTTACAATTTTTAAAGGTTATACTCCATTTATAGTTACTATAAAATATTGGCTAGGGACTTCCTTGGTGGCGCAGTGGTTAAGAATCCTCCTGCCAATGTAGGTGACACGGGTTTGAGCCCTGGTCCGGGAAGATCCCACATGCCGCGGAGCAACTAAGCCCGTGAGCCACAACTACTGCAGCCCACGTGCCTAGAGCCTGCGCTCTGCAACAAAGAGAAGCCACTGCAATGAGAAGCCCGCACACCACAACAAAGAGTAGACCCCGCTCACCACAACTACTGCAGCCCACGTGCCTAGAGCCTGCGCTCTGCAACAAAGAGAAGCCACTGCAATGAGAAGCCCGCACACCACAAGAGTAGACCCCGCTCACCACAACTAGAGAAAGCCCACGCACAGCAACAAAGACCCACACAGCCAAAAAATAAATTAAAAAGTATATATATTGGCTATATTTCCTGTGTTGTACAATATATCCTTGTAGCTTATTTTATACATAACAGTTTGTACCTCTTAATCCCCTACCCCATTATTGCCCTTCCCCCTTCCCTCTCCCCACTGGTAAGCAGTAGTTTATTCTTGCTATCTGTGTCTGCTTTTTTTTTGTTATATTCACTAGTTTGTTGTATTTTTTAGATTCTGCATATAAGTGATATCATACAGTATTTGTCTTTCTCTGTCTGACTTATTTCACTAAGCATAATACCTTCCAAATCCATCCATGTTGTTGCAAATGGTGAAATTTCATTCTGTTTTTTATGGCTGAATAGTATTCCATTGTATGTATACACCACATCTTCTTTATCCATTCATGTGTTTTTAAAAAGCTCCACAGGTAATTGTTATAAGTAGTCAAAGTAGAGAAATTCTACCCCAAATACATTATAATTGTTGGGCATAGAAGGAAAACCAGGATTTGGGAAGTAGCTAGAGATTCTTTGGTTCCTTAGAGTTTAGGGACTTAATAATGAGAGACCTGTCCTCTCCCTGGCTCCCAACCTTTGTGGGTGGCTATAAACATTTGGAAACATAATTAGAGCCTGACTGAGTTGTTGAGAATCTTGTGGTTCTCTTCTCCCCACTGCCTACTTTTTGATGAAATATTGGAAATCATAGGGTTGGAATGTGTCCATCAAAGTATACAATTGGAAAAGGCACCTTGTGAAATGGTAAGCTTGGATTATTGTTTCATACTTTTCATGAATAGTAAAGTCTTTGAATGTGTAGTGCTTTTGATTTACAGATTTAAACCAATAGTTAAACAACTGGACTTTATACTTCAAGTTAAATAGTATATTTGACCACAGAAATGATACTTTGACTAGTTTTGTACTGTGATGAGCAAAACGGGAATTGATAAAATTTGGGTTTCTTAAAAAAAGACATTTCAAATCTCTCTCTTTCTCTCTTTAGTTCTTTTTGGAGGTGGATATCTGCTCAGACAATAAGAATTTTAAGAGGTCAGTTACAAATAACGCTGCTTCCTGTTTACAGTGTGATAAAAATTTTATGTTCATGTGCTAAAATGTAAAACTGTAGGCTTTTATGTTAAAAGTTGCCTTCTGCAAAAAAATATAGGCAGACTGGAGGTGGGAGGTGGGTTACCTGAAGTGGTTGAGACTGACAGTGGTAGTAATCCACCACCTTTTCTCTTCAATTCAGGCCTGGAATCAGTGGAAATGGGACGGGCTGTGGAGTAGCTTCTAGAGTGTCTGGACAGCTTCTCAGTGATTTTCCATACACGACCTCTCTTTTCTGTGGTTTGTAGGCTTGTGCCTGGGAATACCACTCAGTGGAGCTGCCGGTTGGTAGACAGGCTCTTTAGCTGTTGACACTTTGCTGCTTTCAGTCTCTGGAACCTATAGGTTCCTTCATGTTCTTCTTGGCTAGGAAAGAAAAACGTGAAGTTGACCTTATGGAACCTTTCATTTATTTGTTAATCCTTTTTCTTTTCCCATGGAAGAAAGGAGAATTGCTCCTTTCTCAGTGAGTTCTGTTTTTTTGTTTAGTTATCTAATTTTGCTTAGACTATAAACTAGAATCTGTCCCTGAGTGCCTTATTTCTCTTGTGAAGAAGGCAGCTATTATTTTGTTAGTTGAGATGAAATTTGGAAAAATTTTTTTTTTTGGAAAAAATTTTTAAATTTATTATTTTTAAGCTTGATTATTCACTGCTCTAAAATGAGAAAGAAGTAGCCTTTTCACTGCTGTACTTTTTGGTGTTCTTCAGAGTGGTAGATCTGTTAGAACTTTTCCCTCCCTACCTCCTTCTCTCCCTTTTTTCCTTCCATCCTTTTTTTCTCTTTTTGATGATTTGGTTTTTTTGAAGGTTCTGGAAATGAGCCTCTTTATAAAATTTGGAGACGTTAAAAAAAGTTTTTTTAAAGAAACCTAATATTCCAAGGGAGAAATGTATAATGAATTTATTTATTTAATTTAATTTATTTTTTTGGCCACACCGTGCGGCATGCGGAATCTTAGTTGCCCCACCAGGGATCAAACCGGCACCCCCCCCCCCCCCC